TGGGTTGAGGTGGTGGAAGGGGCAGAAGTTTCGCGCACTCGACAAAGGTGAGATCAGTGGTTCGCCTTTCATTCATTGCTCGCTATGGCGTGGCCGATGATGTCCACGTTTCGTTAAGAATGTATTTTTTAAATTTTTTTGTAGTTGTTTAATTTTTTGTTTTTATTTCTTTAATAAAAATCGAAGAAAAGCGATCACGACAATGTTAGTTCTAGACAGTATAAAGTACATAAAATACGATGGGCCAAGAAAGAAAAGTATGATAAAAATTGCCCCCCAAAAAAGCGGAAATGCCAATTTCTTCGGATTTTATCATTTTCATTGTATTTCACAACACTGCTACACATATTATTATCATAGTTGCATGTCCCCTGGTGGTAGTGCTGGCACGTGAGTGAGGGATCACTTGTCCCGGGCGGGGGTAAGCCTGACGGTGAGCTCTTTGAACCAGTAATGCGCTTGGGCTGATCCTCAGGGGTTAAGGACGGTGTGGAGACGGTTTGATTGGATGATTTTACAAAGTGCTGTTGTTTCCGACAATGCGTAACTCTACAGAAAAGTATGTGGTGTGGTGGTGAAACCAGGTACAAGTCAAGGTAATAAAATCAAAGAAACGGTACATTTGTGGAGTTTCCTAGGACACTCAAGCCTGTTTGTTTGGTTTTTAAATAGTTTTTATATATAAGTGTTTTACGGCGCTCGCAACTGCATAAGGTCATATGAGCGCGCGGGACACACCTAATACTTTTAGTTGGTAGGAAATTTTGAATTTTGCCCGGATGGCGGCCGAAGCCTACTCTTATCGGTTTTAGACCGCCAAGGGATTTTTAACGTGCTCAACCTGCAAACGGGCCCTCCGAGATTTTTCGCCCTTGCCCGAGAAGGCTAGGTGTAGATCTTTCCTACCAGGAGATCAGGGGTGTGGCAGAAAGACAGCAGTAAGTAGGAGCCAAGGAGTAGCAGTAGAAAGGCTGCAGAAAGAGTCAGGAGCCCAGAGTAGGGGGCAAAGGAGGTGAGGGGTGGGGCAGAAAGAGGAGACGAAAGCAGACGACAGAATATTGCTAGAGAGCAGGAAAGGATGTGAAAGGAGACAATTTTAGAGAAGAACATTTTTCGGTCGCTACCCAGATTCGAACCCGGGACCTTTGAATGAGAGGCCAACACCTTAACCTCTAGGCCACGAGAGCCCCCTGTTGAATATTTATATATATA